TACATATTGTCAAGAACAAAATTAGAAAAAAAAACATAGGTATTATAATATCGTACGTTGTTTGGAAATTATGATACATAGCCCCACTCCTCAACCATGTCTCTGGAGCCACCCCTGTATAATATTACAAAATTAATAAACATCGATTAAAGCTGGGGAATGTTTTCTAACATTAAAAAAAACTAAAATAGGTAACTAAAATTGTTTGATGGGAAATCGTTATTGTATGAATGAACTTCAAAGTTCTTCGTAATTTAAGCTTCGGACGTTCATAAAAAAAATATTTGAGAATTACATTTACGTACCTACCCTACTTAATTTTTACTTATAATTTATTGTGAGTAAAACGTATACCTATAATGGGTTCTTGACTCTTGTATTACATTTTCAAACCTTAGGTTCGATAGCTATAAAATATAATATGCAAATTTTTTTGATTTTGACAAATTTTATAAAAATTCAAACATCAAACGATCATAAAATATTATTGTAGATTTCCACTCAACTTTTTTTTTTAATTTAAGTATAAAAAACATAAATGGAATCTCGACAATCTTGTATTGAGTTTCCAAGTTTTTTGCCCAGATTGCATATTTTTTTTTTATCGACATTTACAGAAAGAAACGCATTTTAAATGTCTGTAAATAAACTCGTGAGTACTTACCTAGCTACCTATTGAAAATTAATAAAATTATATAAAAATTTGTTGAACCTGTAGGTTGGGTACTTCAGTTAGGTGTAATTTTACTCCCCCCCTCTCCCAAAGTACCTACCTACCAAAGTAGGTACCATGGTACTAAGCTATAACAAATATAGTTTCCTATCAGAAAATATATTGAAGTTGAAAATTAAAGCATTTTACTGCTCTAAAACTGAAAAGATGATGATTAATGGCAAAAAAATCAATCCCCCGATCCTCTAAAATACCGGAAATTTTTTAATTTTTAATCTATTCATAAATCATAAAACATATTTCCGGCGGAAATGGACTGCACGTTACGCCAACACGCAGATTGACAAGGTGGCATTTCCGTCGTGGCAGACTCAAATTAGTGGATACAAAAAATGGACGCTGCGCACGCCGGCCGAATGTTTTTTCAAATGCAAACGAATATTCGAAGTTTTCATGGAACCTGATTCGACGAGTGAGTGCCTATATATTCTATAAGTACCTATCGACTAGGTTGCAAATAGTGGGTTGTTTGGGGGGGGGGCTAAGCCACGCTAACCCTTGCATAGCCCCCACCTCACAAAATACCTGAAGATATTACACCACATATATTAAGTAAAATTTTGATTTCCACATCAAAATCTTCAACCCTGCTCCCCAAATATCAAACTCTATTTGCACCTATCCACTTGGGTATACTTAATTAAAATACGCATTAATGATTGGTCCTGTTAATTATTATTGCGGGTGAACACAGTGGGCTACAACTCATTTGCGCACATTTACCTTTTTTACAACTCATTTGCGCACAAAAACATAACTCATTTGCGCACAATTTACGAACAATAGAAACCTTTTTTCCAAGAATTTTATCCACGTATAGGGTGTACATAATCTCCGTACCACCATATTTTCGATTTGGTCAATACTGAAAGTGGACAATTATTATACTCAAACAACATTTTCCTTCACCCTTTAAAAAGCTTAGGACTTTCTGTCTAATCATATTCTGATGTTATAGACTGGCGGGTTTAAAAATTTTGTTTTAGCTATTACACATTATTCAAAATTTTGTCAAATTACAATAAATTAGGTACAATCATTAATAATAAATTAATCATAATAAAGATTAAAGCTTGTCCCACACGACTATAGTGTTCTTGGCGAGTATTAATGCCATTTTTGATAGATAAGAACTGATGTGAAATCACGTTATGCTTTAAGACTATATAAGGCTATATTGAAGATACTCCAATAACGGGTGATCATTGATGATTGATATCAATAATATTGAACGTGTAACGTGTTGGACAGCTTAAGACACCCTGTACACCCAAAACTGTACCTAAAAGCTGGTTTTCATTGTTTACTATTTTGTGCGCAAATGAGTTGTCGTAAATTTAAAAAAATTATTAATATGTGCGCAAATGAGTCTCCACCACACAGTGCCGCATTTAGACATTTTGATCCTCAGTACAAAAAAAATTGGCGCCCTTTAAGCCCCAGTGAAAAAAAATTGCTCCCACAAAAAAATATGGTAGATAGATTCTCATTAACCTTTTAGATTTTGAGCACAGAAAAGAATATTTATTTTACAATGTGTCCTTTTTTAAATTTTAAATTTAAACTAAAAATATTGTTTAGTAATTGCTTGATCCTCTCTCCGCAAAGATACATTTGAATTTATGTCACTTAAACCTTGCTTATAATTCATCATTTAAGTTGTTTTTTTTAACATATTTAAGTAGGTAGGTAGGTACTTCATGAAGAAATTAAATATAAAATTAAATTAAATTGCAAATAAATATTAATTAAAACATTTCAAACAGCATAATACTTAAACTATATATAATACTATTACACTAAATTATATTATATAATACTGTTATTAAAATAATTAAAATTATAAAATTTTAATAATTCACAATGAAACAAATTTCTGACCACAAAATTTTGGCGCCCCTAAAATACTGACGCCCGGGGCAGTTGTACCCATCCCTAAATGCGGCTCTGGGTGAAAAACAAGTACAATAGTTACTGATGCTTTATTAAAGGTATTTGTAGCTATTTGTTAACAATTCTATTGGAGGAGAGCAGGAAGCTCATTTTAAAGTGCCTTCTCACCAACAGAAATCAATGTTCATAATAATATAGTATCTATAATAATATATTATATGCTGTGACACAACGAGGGGAGGCTATGTGGTTAATACTATATTTGGGAGCTCCCCCCCTAGAATTTCTATAGCCCCCACAAAAACTAATGATTTCACTACTATAATTTAAAAGCATCATAAGAGTATCAAGTATAAAGCTGAGCTAAAGTAAACCCAAATTTTAAACACTATTTACGCTGGTAAATGGTGATAAAATAACTAATAACTATTGTTTTTATTCAAGAAATATGAACAATATAAATGTATTACTTGAATAGATTTTCCCACAACCGATTTTAGGTGAAAGCCATAGTTACAACTACAAAAAAGTTTGAATGAAAATTCTTTATGGTAAAATGTTATGTACTAATTATTTTTTGCTGTTTAAAGGGTATGTGGTATTCACCATTTATAACTCACAGTATTAAATATTAAACAGTACTACCATTACACGGTCACCATATTTACTGAAAACCGTGTGTTTAACACGTTACCATAATGTACCAAATAGTTATAAAATAGTAACCAAATAGTAATAGTAAATATTCAGCTACTGCCTACTTCACGGTGTTACTATAAACGTCAAGTGAAATTGTTATACCTAAACAATATAATTAAATTTTGATGAGTAACAAGAACATTTTTAAAAGACCACATATAAGATAGTAAAGATATAATAACTATATGCAACTGGACTCTTAAATAAATATATTGCTATCCTACATTAAAATATATTTTGGGTTATCATCACTATTTTGTACAAATATACATACAATTGAGTGACTAATTAAGCTGATAAGTTTATAGTTATTACTTATTATCTGTTATCAGTTGGTTAGCCTTAGCTGCATGAACTTAGTTTATGCCGTTTATGGTTAGCAGCTACCACAAGTATCGCTTGTTTCGTTTTCCTAATGGTTATGCATGTTCTTAGATAAAATTTAAATAAATAAATACGTTATACACGGTATAGTTTATCATAATATATAAATTAAATTAATTAACAATTTGAAAAACAAAACGTAACTATTTAATATTGTTTATTATTATCATTTGATAACACATTAAAGTCTTGATATTTTAAATCTAGATAAGAGAATATTATATAGAATATTTATAGCAAGATTGAGAAATTGCTTTGTAAATATTTTAAGAGAAATTATATAATTATTATAATTGTTCAATATTCTTTTAGTTGTACTAGATACAAATATTTGGTACCATGAAACACAAACCATCGGTCAAGATATCAGCATAACTGTGGGCGGCGAATATGATTGAGATGCAATACATACACGGGGAATATTTTAGGTACTTAAATATTAGAAATCATTAACACTAGAATTTCAATGGCTTTTTTTTATTATTTTAAATTAACATACACCAGCCATTTAAAAGAAATTCAAGACAACTACATAATTTAAATTTTAAATATAGTTATTATTCTACTGTAAACATTTTATTTATCAAAATTAAATTGTTGTATCTAATCAAAAGTATATTATTTTAATAATGGATATTTACCCTGTAATCGCAATACATCTAGAAAACATAATATCATAACGATTGAAACATTGAATATTAATTTAGAAAGGCAGATTGAAAATACAATACAACCGTATTGTAACATAAAATAAAAAACCCTGTAGTGTATTATATTTGCATTTATGAGCACAAATAATACTGAGTAAATATTATTTGACTTTCTAGACAATATATTGTTGAACAATACTCCTGAGGTCAGTAATGTAACATGAGCACTTCTGTTATTTTATATCATGTTATTGCTAAAATTTATAAATATAACATAAAAACAATTTAGTTTACTAAACTATGGTTGATTAAAATAACCAAACAGTATCTAAATTAAATTTAGTAAAAAATTTTTTTTTTGGATAAACAAACAAAAACAAAACAAATTTATAACACTAGAAAAACCAATACAAAATGATAAAAAAAAAAAAATAAAAAAAAAGTGGAAATTCAAATGATAATTTATAATGGGTCAAGTGAGTAACCGGAATGTTTTAAAATAATTTATATGGCAGATCTTTAAATAAATTATTTTTATAGACAATTACATAAGTACATAATATTATGTTCGGTAAACAATTAATATATATATATACATATGTATATATTGTTCCAAATGATAAACAATATTTTTAGATGAACTAAGATTGAGGTTTCACCCATTTGTAAGATCCATAATACTTGAAGTTATTTGCAAGAGAAAGATCATCAGCTTTAGTAGGTCCACGTGTACCATACCTATAAAATAAAAAAATCACAAATTAAACAAAGCACTACAGATTACAGTTGATATGAATATTCAACATACTTGTATGGTGTTGGTTCGGGTTGCGTCGATTCAATTTCATGGAGGAGAGGAGTAAATATACGCCAAGCCTCAGAGAGCTCATCAGCACGCACAAAGTGCATTTGAGAACCACAAAAAACATCCAATATCAATCGTTCATAGGCATCTGGTAACTTGACATTCTAATAAATAAAATTAGTGTTATTTAACATAGGTAACCACAATTTAATGTTATCAGAAGAACAATATTCAACTTGCCTTATAACGACTATTATAGGTTAAGTCCAATTCGGTTTCTTCCATTTCAAATCCGATACCGGGTCGTTTAGTCATCATCTTAATGTATACAGCTTCATCTGGTTGGACTCGAATGACAAGTTCGTTTCTCTTTAAGACTCCCCCAAATATGTCACCAGGCACATCATGATATTGAATTCGGATTTCAGCCTTTCGTTCATTCAATGCTTAAAAAAATTAAAACAATAATAAAATTAAAAGTAATATTTTGTAGAAATCGGATGGTAAACAATCCAAATCAGAGATTCAGTTAACTCTCAGAAGATGAACCAAATATAATGACGTGCCTGAATTACATCAAGTTTTCCTGAAAACTATTAAATAGGTTGGAGGAAAAATTCCACAATAATAAGCCATTCTGAGAAACATTAATTATCTTTATATAATAATTGAATAATCATAATTCATAAGTAAACGAAAAACAAATTCGATATATACACATACCTTTTCCACATTTCAGTATAAAAGGTACACCATCCCAACGTTCGTTATTGATTTTCAACACAGCTGACGCGAATGTTGCAGTTTTTGATCCACTTGGTACAGTCTTATCATCAGAGTACCCAAATTTCTTGTGCTCTTCCGCAGCTTCCTTATTACCAACATACTGTCCCAAAACCACATCAGACATTTGTACTTTAGGTATACATTTAAGTACCTTGACCTAAAATATATTACACATATCATTAGATAACAAAAATGCACAACCATAACTGCTTCCAGATATCTAACTTTTTCATTTCGAACATCATCAGGATGTATAGTAGCTGGCTTCTCCATGGCCACCAAACTGAGGATCTGGAGTAAATGATTTTGCATTACGTCACGGATTATACCGAAACTGTCAAAATATCCACCTCGTCCTTCAGTACCAAATGGTTCTTTGAAAGTGATTTGCACCTGTGCAATGTTGTCTCTGTTCCATCCAGTGTTCAATATTCTGTTTCCAAACCTGAATAAATTCATTTCATTACCTACCTGTATAGGTAAACACATGCACGGGGACATATATTTATCTACGTTTCCTTGACATTTACTTTACCTGAGTGTCATGAGATTTTGAACCATCTCTTTGCCCAGGTAATGATCAATACGGTACACTTGATCTTCATTGAACAATTTGGCTAAGTGGTCACTAAGTTCCAATGAACTAGCAGCATCCCGACCAAAAGGCTTTTCAATGATAACACGAGTCCACCCTCTGAAAATAAATTATATTAGAGTTATCAATCAGTAGTAAATTGTAGGGTTTTATATAAATTGATCGATTCACTTACTTATGATCCATGCATGTTTCATGAATGTGAGATGTGGTTACCTCAAATAAAGATGGGGGTATAGCCAGATAGAACAACCTGTTAGAGATACCAGAAATTTCATGTTTGGAAAGTTTTACGTTCAGAGTACGGTAGTCGGCAGAACTATCATAAGATCCAGCAATGTAAAAGTTGTAAGACCAGAATTCGGCAAGCCGTTCTTTTTCATCTTCGTTGCACTACAAAATAAAATTAAAATTAATCAATCAAATCCTAAATAACAGTTATTTTTTAAACAGTAATAAAGAAGGAATGTTACTTTATATTACTTTTAAATATGGTGAGACGTTGCTCTTTAGTTGTTCCATGGTTAATTTTGACCTGGAGTATCCATAAATGAATGTCTTGTCTGGAATCAACTTATCGCGGAACAACATCCAAAGAGTTGGGTAGATTTTCTTTTTTGCTAAATCTCCCTGCAAAATTGAATTTTTTAAGTTAATTATTATAATAGTCAGCAGATCCATACAAATCTGTATAAATAATTTACCGAAGCACCCATTACTACAATCAGGTGAGTGATGTTTTGATCATAATGGGCCCCCTCGATGTCCATTTGAGGGGAGTTTAAGGATGTCCTTATCAGTTGAAGAGCTTCTTCTAGAGTATCTAATCAATGAAAAAATAAAATATTAGTAACAACAAAAAATAAAGTTTATTAAATGGCATGTTTCTTAAAAAAAAAAAACACAAATCAAAACATTTACTTTTAAATTCTAAAATTAATAATTAGTGTTAAAAAAAAGGTTATTTCATCTAATGTAATGTATTATTAGTTTTGTTACTGTATAAGGAGTATAAATAAATAAACTATCTATTAATATGGTAATTGAACAACAAGCAAAAGCTAAAAATGTATTTTTATTAATATGGTTAAATTTAGATAATATTTTGTAGCAATATTATTACTATTTCAATTTTTATTATTAATAAGTTCTTAATACATTATTACAGATGTGTATTTTGCTACTTGTCTAACCACAAATTTACTATTAATCCACAAATTTTTAATATTTTTGAAACAATGACATTTAACACATGAATAATAAGCAATTTAACAACCATCAACCGTTATAATAGTACCCATTATTTTATGTTGGTTTAAGTAACAATATTTGTTAGCAAAAATTGGGTTTCCTGTTAAAAGAGTACACACATGGCGTTGCTAAATATTCTCCACTGAACTAAAAGATATAGTAGGATATTATAATAAAAGACATAGTAAATTGTATTTTTAATAATATCAAAAATGTAGATGGCTTCAACAAAAGTAACATGCCTAATGTAAATGTCTACACAGTATATTTAATAAACTGCATTAAATATTTCATTGAGTTACAAAAATTTCAAAACAAATAAATTTTATACAAAAACGCTGGATTATGTATTTCATATTAACATAATCAATATAGGTAAGTACTGAATAATAAGTAAGTAATGATAAGTAATGAATTGCAAGTAATTTTTTAAATCTCTAATTATTTTAAATTTCTTAATATATTACTCATTAAATAAAAATTGATTTAACTGTGCCAATAAGTTATCATTATAGTTTATAAATAGCTTAAGTATATATTAGATTATGTATAGGTATGTATAAAAATGTTAAAAATATAGGTAGTTACTAATAGAGTTAAATTTTACTTTAATTAGAAAGAAATAAAATAAAACAACTAAAGGTATAAATTATAAAGATAAGATCATGATGACTAATGAGCAACAAAATTTCGAATCATAAATAAAACTTTTGGTCTGAAATATTATTTTAATTATTTTGATATGACTTATAAGGAAAAAAGTAAATGATTATTTTTTTAACTTTTAAAATCAGTTATTTTTGTATTTTTTATATTTTAAATTTTTTTGTTCAAGTGGTATTGAAAATATAAAAACGATATTATAACAAATGTAATATAAATTGCATATATAAAACCCCTTAAAAGGTAAAGTAAAGTCAATAAGTGTGAATATATGAATATTAGAATAATTGATATCTATTGTTTAAGGCAGTGGCTTTAATATAGAATCCTACACAAGTCGCAGAGAAAAAGTTTAATTAATATATTAAAATGTTTGATTCCTAGCACTCAGCTGAAGCAATATAATAAAAAAAAAGATACATATAAATAATACTCATACAGTCATACCTCATACACTTGTTATTAATAAAAAACATCAATCTTATTTTATTTTCCATCATCTACAAAATCACATTTAAATTTCTAAAAAATGTGTTGATACCTATATTGTATAGCAAAACAATCGAATCTAAAATAATGAATAGATATGTGAAATGTACTAAATGAAAACAACTAAGCAGTAAAACCAAATATAAAAAAAAATAAGGATATTGGTGAATATTATTACCTATTATAGATGCTTGAAAAATGTCAAATAAAAAATAAGCAATATCATATAACCAAAACTATTAATTTTTATAACTTAAATGAAAATTGTGGTTCTAAAATCAAATAATAATGTATCAATATTATTGTGCATTTTGAAGGACATCTGTTTTTAATATGTCAATTACTTGTGTTTATATAAGTTGAAACAATTTTTAATTAGTACTTTAAGCTTAATTTTTGTGAATACTAGGTACATCAATACATCATACTCAAATTTAAAATAATAAAATTGATAAAAAATATGCAAAAAACACTTTGTGTGTTCAGAAATGTATATAATATAATATAATATGATAGAAATGCACACAAAAAGTGGGTATTTTTACAAATAATTTTTATATAAAAAGAAATTATAACAATTAAATAAAAATAAAATACTTGGTAGGTACTCATGTCCCTATTTTTATTAAATATTGTTTAACAATTTAATATAGCTAATACGACATTTTAAATTATTCAACTACGAAAAGAAATATTCTATTTTTCTATACCTGCTAAAAAAAATAATTTACTTATGCCTCCTCCCGTCAGTAATTAATTGATATTTTATAGTTTATTATTTATTGACATTAATAAATAGTGCATATGTAATAATATTTTTTTTAATAATTAAGTAATTTAATTTAAATAGGTTTGAATTGAAATAATAATATTATCATTTAAAAGCTTTCAATTACATACTGGCACTTGATCATAAAATTGTTACTACAAATGAATGAATAACATTACCTTTATAAGCTGAGACACTTAATTTTCCATTTAATGTAATTCAAACAATCTATTTATTTGTTATCACTAGGTACCTGATGACAAAATTATAAATTGACAAATATGAACAAAAATTAAACTTGATATTTATAATTTCCTTTAACACGAGCTTAACATAATATAATTAAAAATATTCAATCCTCATACTTATTTTTAAAGTATTAATAATAGGTAATTGAAATATTTAAATAAAAAAAAAAAAACACAATAATTTCACTATGATTAAATAACATATTAAATAACATTTGTATTAACTTGCTGTTGTAAATATCATAATTACCAGATCATGTCAAACAAAATATTTAGAGCTTATTGATTTATATAAGTACTTAATAGAACACTTTAACCGTGTCACAGCAAATTTTCATCATATTATGAACTCTTAAGATAACATTTAAACCAATTAAACTTCTAGTTTATAATTGGAAATTAAAAAAAAAGTAATAATAACAATAATTTAATAAGAAAACAATTAAAATTAAAATTACTAGGTATTTTATAATATATTTACCTTTTTGCGCCCACCCAATGTACCTAACATTAAAATTTTTTCATGTAATTTACCAAGTACCGTTCCATTTAAAATTTTAAAATGGTGTTCCCTCAAATTTTCAATGCAAATAAGTAATACAATAGGTATTCTATTAAATTGGTTAAAAAAAAAAAAATAAAATATTAAAAAGTAGGTATAATTAAGTACCTGCCTAATAATGTACCCACATTAACAGGAAAATGTTGGATTTTCTAAATTTAAGATATTATATTGTTTAGGAGCTTATAAATAGGTATAAAACAAAACCAATTACTTATTAGTTTATTATTTTTATTTCATTAAATTAAAATAAATCATAAAAATATAAAAAAATAAAGCAAATTGCGAAATAATTAGTGCTTGTAAGTCATAAAATATGTCCACATGGGTGAAATATTTGAACTACCTACATAACTACTTACTTCAATCAATAATGTAAATTATTAAATAATTGAATTAGAAATTAAAATACATTTCACTAGGTATAACAATAAATATATTTTAAAACGTTAAAATATTATTAGGTACTAGAATTTTAATAAAAGCTCCAACTGTGCATTACCAAAGCGTGAAATTATTATAAATATTATAGTATTTTACAATAATAAAATTGTACAGTAGCAGTGGGTATTGATAGTTATAGTGAACAATAAAATATTATTGGGCAGGTAGAGTTAGAGGAAGGTTATCATGGTAAATTGATATTAGGAGAGTGAGGGGCTAAAAAATAAAATTAAAACCACCACACAGTGTAAAAGCAGATGTACGGCGGAGTATTAAGACGGATATTATGCATGTCGATAGACAATATTACGGTGTACACTCACTCATTTTGGACCGTTCAACAAGATCGTAGTGTCCACTGTTCTTAGAAAACATCAGCCGACGACCGCTGGACCGACAAGCCACTGGCAGGAGATGTGTGCTCTACACACAACTGAACCGCGAATAGTACAACAGGTGGTTGTTGGTTGGTGTCGGCGTGTGTGCGTCTGAGGAGGACTGCGAAGACGGACGGCTGTGGGTCGACTGCCGGAGAAACGAACGTAATAACAATGGGCCGGCAGGCAAGCACAACAACAATCGAATGCGGAGAAGGCGAAAACCCGTACACGACTATAATAATAATAATGATAATGTTATAATATAATGTATAGGGACACACACGATATTATTATTATTAAGGTTTTCGTTACGCAGGACGGTCGGTAGGTGAGAGGGCTGAAGAAAAAGGGGAAACAAACGGACGAAATCGAACGATGGCGCGCAATCAACGAATATCGTCGACCGGACGGCGGACGGCGAGTGATTGCTACCACCGACTAGCGCGGAACTCGTATTATAGTCTGACCTACTTTTACCACCACCGCCGCCGCCACCGTCGTTCACCGAAAACGTTCACTTTTCCCGTCCGCGGCCACCGGTCAAGTTCAACCGTCGTCGTCGTCTTCGTCGTCGCCGCCGGTTACGAGACTCGATGGGGGTCGCAGTCGTTCCGATTATAAATTGTATGACTGTTTGCAACGTTAAAATGTCACCGTTGTCGTCCCTTGGAATGTCGCGAATATATTATTTTCCTTTGCGTCCGGTGGCCGACGAGATAAAATTAATAATTAAACAACGTCTCTACGGCGGCGGCAATTATGAGATAATATTATGACGTCGGCGGCGTGTCCTCTGTGTTATCGGTCGGCGGCGGCGGCGGAAAAGCAAACATTGAGAGCCCGGCCGTTATCGACATCGCGATTATTAAGAAGCTGTGAAAATAATAGTAATAATAATAAATACAGGCCAAGACGGGGTACGTCTGTCGGACGTCGGTTATCGGCGGGACAGACGACGCGCGCGGTCGACGGTGGACGGACATAACCTCTTTTCGAGCCAAACGGCCTGGCGGCGGCGGCGTTATCTCGACACGATGTTAGAGTGATATTGCCGCGGGCGAGCGATGATTACGATTTTCAGCGCCAAAAGCCGCACGTGCGTGTTCGTTGGCCGCGCCATCTGTCCGCCGGGTGAAACTTTTCTTGAAAATGTTTTCCATCGTCAATTTATAACATTAATGTTTAGGTATCGTAATAAATAAATAGTCTACAGACTGTAATAATTTATTTAGGAAGCTCGGAAGGCTATTTTTGGCGGGGAGGGGTGACCAGGGCGAATTATATTATAGAGAACAAATAGGTAATAATAATACCTAACAGAATTATAAAAAGATTATATTTATGTAACACGCAATGTTGTCGTTTGTGTAGGCAATTATAATTAGGTACAACCACGATAGGACATGAACTTAAAGTCCTAATCGTTTTAATAAGATATCATAAAAATTGATTTTTCCATCAAAATGTCAAACGGTAAATGTAGGTCTGAACTTCGTTCATATAATTGTTTATACTTTAAAATTGAAATCTCCTTGAATATAAAAAAATAATATATAGGTAGGTCGTAGGTCGAAGCCCGAAGATCCTGTATAGCTAGGTAGATGTACTAACTTCTAAGTAATTATGGTATTATGACCTAATAGGTATACCTATATATTTATTTGACTATATCTAGTCCTGCCAGTCCTCGTAATGATTTAAAAATGACATAGCTACCACTCTTTGGCACCAACAACTGAAAAATTGAAATAACGCGCCTGGTAATGAGAGGTAAATGATCAATGGTATAGAACAATGATCACCAGCTACTCAGGCTATTAGGCTCGTCAAAACTCTAAATGTTTTTATTGAGTGCAAATTATAAGTTTAAAGGTAGTCTGTCTCCCTAACAAATATCAAGATGAAAAAATAAGGGCAATATCGATTAATACAATAAATTGTAATACCAAAACCTATATAGTGTTCTTGCTGTAGGTACTATGTTGTTTGTTATCGCCCAGCCACCCAACCGTATAAAAGTTATTATCCCGCCACCAGCCGACGTTACGTCAGCAGTCTTTAATCTAAAATCTATAATTTCAATATTTATAATCGATATTTCTTTTTATGACTGTATCTATATGCTATAAATATAAAATATGATTTATAATATTATGTGTAGGTAAGTATGTTGTATGTGATATATTTACTATACCTTTCTACTTCTTATATTTACAATTGTAGGTATTTTATTATATTGTAATCATGTTATGTTATTTTAATTTTGTTAAAAATTAATTTTTACGAATAATTTCCCACAGTACTGAATATTGGCATTGCATTTATAAAATGTAGGTACAAACAATTCACTATATTAAAATAATCATAACTTGCTTTAAAATTAAAATATAAAAAAAACCTGTGTCATCGACCAGGTGATATTTTTATTTCTAAATTTGGCGATAGTCAATTAACTCTAAAATTAAACATAACATAGTTCAATTATTCAGAACACACAATTTGCTACGTTATACGCTTGTAAGACCGAGACAACGCATGCTGGTATGAGGCATCCTCTTAAACAAATAAAAATTTGTGACATTTAAGTATCTTTAGAACACAGCCTCATTTATTTACGTGTTAATAAACTAATTATTAACTATGCTACTAATTACTACTATTAAAAATTTAAACAATTTATTATTATTTACTATTATTTGGAAGCTTTTAACGGTACCTACTAAAAAAATATCATAGTACAATGGCGGGGTGGAAAATTGTATACGACGCAGTGGCGGAACGCTAACAAACAAGTACCTATACCTACCGTTCTTAAATAATTATTTTCAGTAGAATAATAATATAAATATTTGTTGAAGTTATATGAAAGTATTCAAAAACAAATATTATTCAAGACAATATCATATTATGATAGGTGTACAATGTACATATTATGGCATTCTTTGTGCTATAGCTCTATATGCCTCTATTCAATTCAGAATGCTAAAATTGCCTATGCTCCCTCGGTGCCCCACGATTTTTGTCTACGAGTACCTATAATATGTTTCAAATGGTATATTATAATAATATAATATTGTTATAGATTTGGTCAAGGACGAAATTCGCGTTCGCTTTTATAAATTCGATGTTTTTCTTAATCAATTTTCAAATCATTTCTCTCCCTCTCATTCCCATTCCCCTCCTCCTGTGCACGACACTGCCGCCGGCCGTACAGATCCGTACTCGGGTACCTATAGTGCAGTGTACATTAGCCATTAGGCATACCTACATAAAATATGATATATTGTATACTGCTACTGGCTGGTATACGTAATTCATGAATATTATATTATTTGTTACCTACCTATATGATAAGTCGATAACATATTATAATATATGATTATACGCGTTCAATAAGTACCTAAAGGTATACGTCCTACTTACACTATAGGTACTACTAAGGTAACTATGTGGCTATGTCCTATATATACTCCTATTGATATTATACAATTTTTTTTTATGGACTTATCGTTTACTTTATTTTTATAACCATCCGGACTTGAATTTCTATTCTTTAATTACTTTCCGACCCCTGTACTTGCATATAAGTACTTGTACTTGTAGACGGTCTGTCAGCATATAATTTATATTACTAAGTATATATTATATATGATATTATTGTGATTAAAATAATTTATTTTACAATTAGGCATTAGTACAGCAGTAATTTAAATTAATTTTTGCCAAAAAATTACATTTCAAAATGTCATTGTGTGTATAAAATATAATAATATACTCTAAAAGTTTCATATACCCATAGTGATATTTTTAAACTAGAACAAAATAAATAAAATCTGTAACTTCGTCCAAACTTTAACATAAAATGTCTGTAAAAAATAACTGTGTTAATATATTTTTTGGACTATTTGGTTATAGTATTTCACGAAAATCCTTGTTTTAGATTTTCAATTCTTAGCCATAAAAATTAAACATTTTGTAATTTTTTAAATTCAACGAATTTGAAAATTTTCGATATTTTGATAAATGTTCTCAAAATGTAAACTTTAAATACCTACTTATAATAAAAATTGTGCTATAGGTCTTTAATATTTCTCAACTGCTATTTTAACTACTTATGTTACATTTTTAAGCATTTTTACCAAACGAATAAAATGTTATTTGATTTAGGATTGTACAGATTAAAAAACAAAAAAATAGAAAATTTAAATTGTCTATAAATGACTCAAAACGAGTGGAAATATTTTGAAAATTGTATCATAATTCGAAAGTGTTAAAATAAATATTTGATGAAAATTTCAAGTACGTAAGTATTACGGTGATTAGTTTTTGAATAGTGAAAAAATAAGAAAATCATTGTATGAGAATTTGTTAATTTTGCATTAAGAAAACAAAATCAATTTTTTCATAAACTGTCTATGCTATTGTAAAAATCTCATTTTTTCTTTAATTTGTTGTTTGTTTTTCCTGACGCTTTTGAAAACTATTTACTTACTCCCCAAAGCACCAACTAGATTCACTTTCCTATCAGAAAATTTAAAATTGAAGGATTTTTGGTGGTATAAAAGGTAATGATGGACATAAATAAAAAAAACAAAACACACATCATTGTAAAATTAATACACTCATCGCTCCGTTCAAAATCTAAAATTAAAATATAAGATAATATTATTATGACTGAATATATGAAATTCGGTCACAATAATATCTAGAAAATAAGTTAATCTTGTGTAGACAATAAAAATACCTTTGATTCCTGCTAGTTCCTTGGATGAGGAATTATGATGACTGTTAGGACTTGATGAGGTAGATTTATGTGCAGGTAGTCGTGACTTTATTAAGTGAGTTACAGTTGAGAAGGAACAAAGTATATAAAGATGGCCAGATAGGAATGGTTATGAAAGTATGAATGTAATATGATAATAATAATATTTAATATTTCCTTTGCTGTCATGACGCATTTCAGGGGAATGTATAAAAATATAATATGTACTATAT